AAAAAAAAAAAAAGAATTAAGATACGGATCCATCTAATAATGGCTTCCAAAAGACAAGCTGCAAATATTTTTTCTCCCACATTCTACTATATATACCCACCTTCATCTTCTGCAATTTAACACAGAATTATACATATTCTCTCATATGTAAACAAATGTCTTTTGCGCACCTGATAGCCCGAATTTCAACTTTAAGCCTTACTTACAATCAATAAATATGTAAACAAATTTCCAATAGAAAGTGACAATTTCAATTTTAAGCCTTACTCACGATCAAATAAATATGCAAGAACCTGAAATAGTCTAATAATACCGGTGAACATAAACTACCGGCGATTGGAAGGTTGGAGATTTTGAGGGCGTTGACGATTTGGGGGATACTAGGAGGCGCCGCGGAGCGAGGCTGCGACCAGCGAGTTGAAAGTGAGAGAAATGAAAATTGGAAGATTAGGGTTGTGACTTGTGAGTATATGACTTGGGTTGAGCTGTTTAGTGCTCCTTCTTTCAAATTTGGGCCTTTTTTTATTTATAATTAGGCTTGCGCGGGTCATAAATCTTAATAATTAATAGAAAATTAGAAATTGACAAAAATACCTACAAAATGACAAAATTATTCTATTTTACAAAATTGAAAATTTGGATAAATTTTCAAAAAAAATCAATTTTTTATTTTTTTATTTTATATATTTTTCGCCGGTCCGGTTTGGTTTCAAACCATAATTAAAATTTTCAAATCTAAACCAAACCGTTTTTGACCAGTTTGGTTTGGTTCAAAACCATTTCGTTGACTTGTCCACGTGGCACCAAACCGTCGATTTCGAAATTGCGGTTTGGGTTCGGTTTTCCGATTTGACGATTTTTGCTTACAGCCCTATGTAATCACATGATTGAAGACTTACAAATGCAATCAACACTTGAATCTACAACACACAAGGAAGAAGCTCAGATGAGCTTTTTTTTTTTTTTGTTAAAGTTGGACTAATATGTAATTTTATTTTTTTTTAGCTAGTAAAAGTGTGAATAAAATTTGGGCTTGAGCCAAGGACGGTCCCTCCTATGTTCACCCCTACGTACGAGGAGGGCAACCCCTCCCTCCCGACAATGTCCATTGGCTTGAAATTCGGTTGTGGGTCTATGCTTTGTAGTTGGTTGAATGAGGCAAGATGCCCATGTTGTGGAATTGAATATTCTTTGTTGGCACATTGAGTAAGCCATAGACTAAAGAATGATGCTACTTGAGGAAGGCACTGACAAAGGTTGTTGCGGCAAATCTATAATATATTAAATATCGTATCAAGTGAGAATCATTTTTTGAACGATTTTAGTCATATTATAATTTTATTATTTCAATAGTACCTTACTTTTCGTTTTTCGATATACATTTAATTGAATATTAATTATTAAATATACACGCAAATAAATAATTGAATTGTACGAGAACAATCAAATTAATTCTTGAACATTGAATTTAATTAATTTGAATCAATGAATATAGAAAAAGAATAATGTATATACATTTAAACAAATAGGGTGTGAGTGAACCAACATGAAATTTAATTAATTTGAATTAATAGATATAAAAATAATAATAATTTATATACATTTAAACAAATGGGATATACATGAACGAATATGAAATTTAATTAATTTGAATCAATGAAGATGGAAAAAAATAATATATTTACATTTAGACAAATGACTTTATATTATAGATTAAATGAATAATATTGAAATTAAATAAGTGTACATGAACTTGAATAAATTATATACTCCTATAATAATTGAATAGCTCTCAAATTATATGATCTTTAATAATTTATGTACTCCTAGAATAATTTATGATAAAATGAATAATCTTGAAAATAAATACGTGTTCATGAGTTTAATTAATAGTGGGAGTATAATTAATTCAATAAAAGATCGTTTTATATTTATTTCTTCTATTTAATTAGTTATTCTCTTTTTGTCATTTCAATTTTGAGTCANACATGCACATGCATAAATAATTGAATTGCAATATTTTTAAAGTAATTGAACAGCCCCCAAAATTATATAAAGTGTGCATGCATGAACTAGAATAATTAATTGATTGAATTGTAGTAGGAATTTCTCTTCTTAAAGAAACTGAAAAGTTCATCAAAAAGTGTGGGGAGTTTATGTGGCTTCTTTTGATTGCACAATGGAGTGTAAAGAGTTCAGCTATCTTCTTGTAAAAATGTTATTCCATATTTTCTTTTTCTTTTTCTAACATTTATACTCACAATGATTATGTAAGTAAGACTGATAAAAATCATTAGATTGTAGAATTTGGAGTTCCAGATCTCTAGTGCCTAGCTCATTACATCTGTGAATGGCCACATCAACTTATGACACTATATGGGAAAATTGTTCGCTAGTAACCCTGCTTGAAAAAATTAAGGCCCCGTTTGAGCCACCTTTTTGTAAAATGAGAATGAAAAATATAGCCGTTATTGGGTCCACACAAGAGATAGAAAATTTGAATTTAAATGTTGATGTGATGGATAACGGTCATATTTTTCATTTTAATGAGGCAAAAAGGTGGCCCAAACGGGGGCTAAAACCAGATTATTTTAAGATGTTTTCATCTCTCAAAGATACATTAGAATTAAGAAAATTTATAAAATGTTAGTTTTCCAGTTAGTAGAAGTGGAGATATATATTATAGGTATTAAGGCATGACTTTTATGGGCATGAACAATATTAGTAAAACATTTACCTCATCTCTTGGTGTCTAGTTGAATTAGGATTTCACTTCATGAGGAAACTGTTAAATCTGAGGGCTAAGGACATGGATTTTGGTTTAGCTTACCTAAATAAAAATATATGACCTCTAGGCTCTAGTTATCCGAAGTTGTCATTTAATAGCTATTTTACTTCAGTTTTATCTCTCTAGTTAAATTGGCTACAATTGGCAGTCTACTACCAACTAGCACAGCTTCCTCTGCTTCCATTAGTAGCACCACTAACTCTTTCACAGTCATTAACTTTATCATAGCTTATGCCAACAATTTATTTAGTTTGGATCTGATTATGGTGATGGTATTGGGGAATTGAGCTGTGGTGTTTGTCTTGAATGTAAAGGTAGTGTGGAGCAGTGGTTAGGAAAAGCATTTATGCATTGAAAAATCTCAATATCCATACTGTTCGTTAAAAAGTTGGGAGATGGATAGTTCATGACAATGTCTTGTATGGAGAATTCATTTCTGGCATGAAAGTCTTTCATGCTACAATAAACAAAGCCCGAAATTTTACTAAAAGAATCCTATTGCTTGCTTTAGTAGTTATTCAATAGAAAAATTGGATATTTTCCCTATTTCAACCTTTAATGTCTCCGTACAACACTTTGTGACAAGTGATGAAGTGGTCTGAAATTGTGAATCTTCTAGTCATATGGAGACAGCTTGAAGGATGTATTTGGATTCACGTGGTTTCCTTTCGATATTGATTGGAGAGACTTCTACATTTCTGAACAAATATCCTCCCTTCTTGCTTTTTGTGTGTGGTTGCATGTTTATGTATCTTATCCTTGGCATCCATTTTCTTGTCTCCTTACTAGTTTACTTTCAACAATGTACAGACCAAGTCTAAGCTGTATTTGATCCTGGATTTCATAAATGAAGGACATCTATTCTGTCATCTATACAGACAAGGAATTTTCAGGTACCATTTACTTTTATTTTAACTACTAAAAATTATGTGGGTTCATTCACTTAATTATTGTTCGGCTATGTCTTGGTTAGTGAGGATCAGGCAAGAGTTTATACTGCTGAGATAGTATCTGCTGTTTCACATCTTCACAAGAACAGGACTATGCATCTAGATCTAAAACCTGAAAATGTTCTCTTAGGTGCTGATGGGTATGTATGGCTGTGATCTAACCTGATGTATTTGCAGGCGTACATATTGTGCGTGACATGATAATATATTATTCCATCTTAAGTGTTGAAGTGGATTTGCTGCTTTATTAATTTTAGTACTTCTCTTCAGGTTGTGCTAACTGATTTTGGACTGGCCAAGGAGATTAATGAATCAAGTAGATCAAATTCAATGTGTGGAACAACAGAGTACATGGCTCCAAAAATCTTACTCGCTAAAGGCCACAATAAAAATGCAGATTGGTGGAGTGTAGGGATCCTTTTGTATGAGATGCTTAGTGGCCAGGTAATGTAATTGGTCAAAAAATGGGGGTTTAGTACCTTATTCAAAAAACATATATTTATCACTCATTTTTTATTATGGTTGGTTGTATTTGGTGATATTTGACGAAATTGGGAGTGCAGTGTTAGGTTTATATATTGTATTGGCAATTCTATGAATAAAAGGACCAACTTGAACGATTATAAAAGTTTAGGGACTAAATTGTAAAGTTTCATAGTTGGTATGTTAGCTTAAGGTTTGGGGTTTCATGTTTGGAACAAGAAGGATTCACCGGCTAAAAAGCAATCGACGAGCGGAGAGTCATACTCGAGTGGATGAAGCAGGAACATCCTAACTCGACCTTCGCCCCACTATCACTCGAGGACAGACCATTAGCTCGAGCGAAACGTCCTCCTCTCTCGAGCGACTTATTTTTTCGGCCAGACTTTCGATTTCTGAGACTTTTACTTGGCTCATTTTACCTAAGCTGTCCAACCTATAAATAGAGGTGCCGCATATTCTACGAAGAGAGATTGAACATACTATTTTCTAGAGAGAATTCATCGTACACAAGATCAAAAGTTCAATCCTTCAATCATATATGCGCTCATCATATTGAAAACATCAAATCAAACACCGGATTGCATTTTTCGCTTGGGTCTGTTAGAAAGATCGTGTCGTCAACTTTGTTGCATTGAAGAACGAGGAAGAATTTGAAGAACGAGGAGTTTTTGGGAAGATTTACGGGAGATAAACTGCGTAAAAAGTCAGGATTGGAGTTCGTGTGCTCATTCCAGGAGGACTGCTTCACAAAGAAGAGTCGGGATTGGTGTTAGTGTGTACATTCCAAGAGGGCCGCTTCAAACTTCAGACATGAGATCAGAAAGCTTGTGTCGTCAACTTTGCTGGTAGTCTGTAAGTTTATCAAAAGTTTATAGTAGATCTTTGACTGGCAAAGTGCACGGAGTTTTTCCGTGAACAATTCTGGTGTTGTTTACTGTTGTTCTTACTGTTTTGATATTACTGCGGCATTTAAAGATATGACTAATTGAATTGTTTGACTAATCACCTAGACATAATTAACTTATGACTTGTTGATTAAAGTTTTAATTCCGCATTTACACCTAATAACCCCCCTCTAGGTGCAGTTGTATCGAATTTTGCTTTTTTTCATGCAGTATTATAAAACTCAAGTCTGCAGTGGAATCTGAAGATAGTCTAAAATGTTTGGTTAATGTGCAAACAAGAGGGAACTGCTTGATTTTAGCAATAGCCCTGGGTTTTTTACTAGTGTTTATGCACAAAATATGATCTTGTAAAAAATCTTTTAATTTTGACTGTCTCGTGACCCCATAACTATTGTATTCTTGTCAGCCACCATTCACCCATCCAAACAGAAAGAAGCTTCAGGAAAAAATCATGAATGAAAAAATGAAGCTTCCGCCTCGACTGAGCAGTGAGGTTCATTCTTTGCTTAAAGGAGTATGTGACAACACTTTCACCCAATATATTGCCTTTCTTATTGTTTACATACATCTAAATTGTTATTATTTCTGCAGTTGCTACATAAGGATCCATTGAAAAGGCTTGGAAGTGGGCATAAGGGAGCTGACGAGATCGAATGTCATAAATGATTTAGGACAATAAACTGGAAAAAGATAAGAGGCCCGAGAATTAGAGCCCCAGGTTCAAGCCAGATGTGAGTGGCGAAGATTGCACGGCCAATTTTGACAAATGCTGGACAGCAATGCCTCCCGATGATTCACCGGCTGCTACACCAACTGCAGGCGAGCATTTTCAAGGGTATACTTATGTAGCACCTAATCCTTGGCTTTCTTCGGAATGAACAAAAGTTTCAAATCAGTGCATAGAAAACCTTACAAGTTGTTTTGACCTTGTCAATTTATTTTGTCTTTCTTCAAACAAGAAACTATTAGTGAAATTGTGCCTTAATTTGAATATACTTTACTCAAACTTGCTGCAGTTCTTTATGATTGTATACATTATTATTTGGTCATACAGTAGTTTCTAAATTTTACAGTTAGAATTTTGTCTGGGCAGCTGCCTGAAGTAGTCGAAAATTTAATAGTGTTGCCTAAAGTAATTTTAGGGTCAAACCACCCGTGTTCCACCTGTCACTCCTTACGTTATGATGCAAGCAGTAGAAATGGCAAAAAAAATTCGACAAATTCGATGCCCGCGGGCCTGCCCTGATTACCCGTTTAATCAGGAATTCAGGGACGGGGCGTGAAATTTTGCCCAGGGGCGGGAACAGGTAACATGTGCCCCGCCCCGTCCCGCCCCGTCCTGTTTAATTTTTTTTATTATTATTATTTTTTAGAATTCAATACTTTAAATAGAAAATTTCACAAATTCATTAGTTTTAATAGAAAATGACACGTCCCGTCCCTTTTAATATATTTTTAAAATTTTTTTTTTAGAATTTAATACTTTAAATAAAAATTTTCACGAAATTTCATTAATTCTAATAAAAAATGGCATCTAAAATTATCTAAAAAATATGACAAATAATAAAAACTTTAGTTTACCAAATATATTTTAATAATTTATCATTTAAAAATAAGTAAAGATTAAATATATTACTGTCTCGATCTAATGGATGAGAGCAATAAAATGAGTTATCAATAATTTTATAAAAATAAAAATTAAATAGGATAGTATACTGGGCAAAGGTCCTGCCCTTCCCCACCTTAAACGGTAACGGGTGGGGACCATAAATGCAAATGCAACAGTCCTATATCAAATCATGGATATTTTAAGATATCATCCATCCCACCCACAGGTAAGTGAAGGTCCTACTTCAACTTATCATGACATTAACTGAGGACCTAATTCCATCCACATTCATGAAATAGCTAAAAACAATCTCCCACAATGTAGCACTTAGCCAACAATGATTTACATTCACGAAGAAGAAACCATATCAAATTGTTGGGTTAGAATATTCTGCGCATAAACCAATAGACGAATAAAAGGGTATGACAAATTTTCCAACTTTATTCTCAACCACAAACAAGCAAGAATCTGAAATATTAGCATAAAACAAGAGACACAGCAAAGCATGATATTTTCCAGTCTGTACAAAAACGATGATCGAATTATAGTCAAATTAATTACCTAATCTGTTTCTTAATCAAATCATTCTGATATCTTAACTGACTCTATGTAGTTATGACGAACCTTCTTTTCTTCAAATTTATTTTGTCAAGTTCCTTCATTCCTCAAGCAACGCTGATTATGCTATCTCCATTTCCAAAACTTGTTATCACCTGGAATGGTGAGTGCCTTGTTGATGACTGATCTTGATCCAATGACAATGACAATGATAGCCCCAGAGATAGTTGTGGTGACCCAAAGGGCGTATTCTGATTTAAGCTAAGATCTGCCATTGATGAGGAAGTATGCGTAGGAAGAACAGGAACTGGGTGAATGAGCATATCCGATGTATTATTCATTTGATTGCCTTGGCCATGAGTTATATTTTCGATCGAGTTCTCAGGTTGTAGATGTAAGAAAACAGGAGCAACGGTCATCGGGAAAGGCACACCCGGGATTCCACCGATATTGGAAGTTTCGGAAGGAGGCAGAGAGGTTGGTGGCAAAATTGCCTGGGCTGCACTTTCTTGATGGCTTGTGCCCTCGTTGTTTGGAATTGCAGTAACCTAGCCATGAAATCATATACAATTACGAACCATCTATAAACTATCAAATTCAGTACAATAACAAACTAAGCCCCTGGATGCTTTGATCTATGACTTTTTGCTGAAAGTTTTAGGAGCAACAAGAGCTAACCTCAATACTTAAAACATGACTTTTAACCTAAAACGAGGACATTGTTCTCTCATAAAATAGAAAATTTATGATCCCAGAAACTTTTTGAAGAAAGTTTTCAGTGACAACGCAGATAGATTGCTTAATATATGTTTCATTAACATTGACAATCAAAATAGAACAGCATACAAATGATGAATCAAACAAAAATAAGATCAATTTATTAGTCTACTGCATACAAAGACTGAAAGACAAAAGTGATTAGATCTAATCAATAAAATTACCGAGTCAGTTGTGATGTCAAAGAGACTAGAACGGCGGCGACGCCGATTTCGATTGTTCCGGCGAAGGAAGTATTTCTGGGCATGGCTAGCAACTTGGGTTGGCGTACGAGTCTTGACATAATTTCTAGAGATTCCTCTCCAGTCTCCTTTTCCTGCCTTCTGCAATCCAACAAGAAATAGCCTGTGCTCTTCCTCTGTCCATGGAACTCCTAAAAGAAATGCACAAACCAATACGACATGGATCAAAATCAATTCAACAAAATTGACTCTCACAAATAAAACAATTTTGACTTTTAATAAGTTTAACCAAGATTCATCCCAAGTAGAAAATATGTAATAGCAAAAATACTTGAAATCAGATTTAAACTTTCTGTAAAATATATTGAAATCAAGTAATCAACAACCGTGATAACAGATCAATCATTCAGAGATTGTAATCTTTCACATAAGAAGTCAAATCATCTGATAAGACATCTATTTACCACGAAAATCAAACAGAAATTTATTCTATTCAAGCAGACAAAATTACTCCAAGACCAATTCATAAAGTTTATGTTTCAAAGAGCATCAGTTATCATCCGACTGAAAACTAGTATATGAATCAAGTATTCCATGATGAATAAAATTCAGAACACAAATCATATAATCAATCAAATAAATTACAAAACGAATGATAATTGAACGGACAAACAGTTGATCAGAGATCTGACCTCGCTTACGCTCCCGGCTCCCGTTGCCTGACTGCGGCACGGCGTCGTCGGCCGATGCATAACTATTCGTCGTCGCAGTCGCCGTCTTCAACGACTCACTATCATTGTTATTAGCACAAGTGTTGTTGTTGTTGTTATTAACGGGCTCGTATTCAGAAAGATTATTCATACTCACGCTCTTTCTCATGGGGTCAACTTTTACTCTTACACCAAACAGCATAATCTCACCAGAACCACCTCCAACAAAAACGTTTCCGCCACCACTAACGGCGGCAGATGGCGGCTCACCACTCGGGCTCAACATTTTTATTGTTAGTTTTGGAGGTTCCTTGAGGGGGATTAATATAGATGAAATTGTAAGAGAATCAAGTCATTTATAAGGCGAATAAAACTTGAGAGCCGTACAATGTGGTGCTTTGCATGAAATATTAAAACAATAAGATAGAGATGTGTGTATGTTTGGAAGATGGGATAAGAAATTAAAATTTAAGCCCCCGTTTGGCACCCATTTTTTTCTCATTCTCATTCTCATTTTTTTTTTCTTTCTTCATTTCAACCACATATTCTATCAATAAAATAAAAAAAATAATATTACTACATAGATATTTTAATGTGGTTGGATCCATTATGTATTTGATGGTTTGCACTAGACCGAATTTAGATTTTGCTGTTAATATTCTTAGCCCCCGTTTGGCACCCATTTTTTTCTCATTCTCATTCTCATTTTTTTTTTCTTTCTTCATTTCAACCACATATTCTATCAATAAAATAAAAAAAATAATATTACTACATAGCATGTTCCATAATGGTGTCCATAATGGACACATGGAGGCTTCCTATTAAGGAGGTGCTTGCGGGCCCAGGCACCACTCTAATAGGGGGTCTCCATGTGTCCATTATGGATATCCTTATGTATTGTGCTATGTACCCATAGCACAACGCATAAAATAATATTACACATAAACCTAAAAATTACACATTTTTCCATCAATCACTATTTAAAAACACATTTTTCTACTAAAATGGATGTCAAACACCCCCTAAGAGGGAAATTATGTGATTCATTTAATGGAATACACATGTCACTAGTGCAAAGTGCTAACACCTACGATGGTATTAAATACAGTGATACTAAATAACATTACTTTTAGTGAAAAATTCGTATGTAAGAGATTGAGTATGATCCATATCAAAATTAAGAAACAAGGTTTAAAACTTCAAAAATCAAATATTAATTAAATTTTATTTATTAAATAAGTAATTAAATATATTAATGTCACAATTTTATACAATTTGATCATAATTAATGAATTAATTAGTCACGAATTATTTCTCCGACATAGATCAAATTATTTATTGATCACAAATCAATAATTTTATAAGTCATAATTTATTAATCAATCAAAAAGTCACAAATTTTATAAGTCACAATTTATTTAATAGTCACAAATTATCAAATGAATTGGTCACAACTTAAAAAATTGTAAGTCACAATCACATTTTTTAGGTCACATATTCTTTCTTCATCTCAAATTAACTAAATTAATGGTCACAATTATCAAATAATTGATCACAATTCATTTAATGATCACATAATAAAAGATTTAATGGTCACAAGCACTCTTCTTTCCACCTCACCCCATCCTTCGCCCTGGCACCATCACCACCACACCATCACCATGTCACGATCACCTCAACGGCACCACAAATACTACCTGCAAACACCATTCACTAAACACATCCCAAATCACTACACAACCATTACAGCTGCGACGACATCGACGATTACAACAACCATAAAACATAATAGAGTAGAACTGCTAAAATAAAGAACAATTAAACCTTTCAAAAATGTATAACGGGAGGGACCTCTTAACTATTTTCGTCCAAAATTTCGTTAGTTAACCAAGAAAAAGAACTCTAACCGAATTTTGATCAATCCAATGATGAGGAAAAAATATCTCATTACCTTTTTTGAAAGAAAGAGGGAAAAAAAATATTTCTTCGTCTTTTTCCCCATTCCACCCAACCAACCCAATCAAACCAAATTCACCTACCACGTCCCTATCTCAACCATTTTTCATGTTTTATTTTCTCATCATCTCACAATCAACAATAAAGGAACTGCATCCAAATTGGGAGTAGCATGCCACCGCCATAGCTATGACCAAAATTGACCGTAAAAACCCATCTAAAAATTCTACGAATGGCCCTCATTTCATCTTCCATAGTATTTGTTGCAGAATGTGAAATATAAGGTTGAAATTCAAGAATTTCATAAGCGAAACTCAACTGATTTCGGCATATGAAATTGGGACTCGATGGAGGATGTGGTGTTAGAAATATTACTAGTTGCAATATAGTAAAGTGCAGAAATAAAACTTATCGACTGATCAAATCTCGTGACAGCACGATATCCTAAAGCGAAATTATATGTCGACAATCACCTACAAGATATAACGATCAAATAAACCAATTGTGCAGCAATCACAAAAGGTTTCCAGAACTCTCAAGTGTACTCCAGAAATATGTAAAATTAAGAACAATATTTTTACTGTACTGTATAGAAATGTATAAACTCGATTTTCTTGTATTTTTCTAATACACAAAAGTGTAATGTAAAATTGAGTATAATAATTTATTGAATAGGAAGACAAAATTTCGTATTTGTAATAATTTTCTAATGCCCATATGTGTGTTTATATAGGCAGAAAAATGATGTAACTGTCTCAACCATGATCCAGTATTATTTATAATTTTTTTATGGCTAGTGGTAATTGATTGTTAATACTTGATAGTTAAAAAGATCATATTTTACTGGTTAGTTGACCCGTTAAATAATTCCGAAAATGATTAAAAATAATAATTATTATTAGAATCAAGAAAGCTCAAGGCCCCAAACAAAGGTCTTTTAATATAATGCATTAAGTGTGACTTAAACCCCCAACCTCCCACACAAATTTCACACTTTTCATAAATTTGGCACTTCAACTAAATTAATTATTTCTTTCACATATTATATTTATTGTATAAATATTTAACAATCTCCCACATAAAAGAAATAAGATAAATGTAAATACTATTCTAGAGTACGGTAGAAATCACGCAATTTATGCCTCAACCATGATCCAGTATTATTTACAATTTTTTATGGCTAGTGGTAATTGATTGTTAATACTTGATAGTTAAAAATGTCATATTTTATTGGCTAGTTGACCCATTAAATAATT